CCAGCCTTTTCGCCTTTTTACTTCGTAAATAAGATTTCTATTAGTCTTAACTACAAATATTATCACCTAAAAATTCTTCGTAACTAGAGGAAAGTATATGTCAAATATTACCTCACAGTTTTAAACCTAACAGTGTTAAATTTAAAATCAAAACACGTACGCGACAAAAACGCTCATTTTCCTAATTTCTTGACAAGTAATGATCCCGGTAAAATTATGTTTACTTTACATTATCTCATAAATAGTCTTTTTGATTTATATGAATGTAACTACAGACATAGTAATGCAGTTATTTTTGTTAAAATTTACAAGTTATTTATTTTCTTTTAGTGGAAATTAATGGGGCTGTTATTAGATATACGAAATGTATGGAGTGCATAATTTGGTTTGACGCACATAATAAGAAGTACCTAATTTCAGCCACGTAATATAAATCAGGGCTGGAAACTGGAATAAACACCATTAATTAGATCATAACTTATTTTATAGTTAAGGGAGTTATGATCAATTCGTCTGTTTTAAAATTGGTTTTAGATTTTAAAGTTTAGCAAAAGATGTACAAGCTTTTCTATCTGACATTCGGTGTATATTAAGAACACCTTATGTATTCAATGTTTTTTTTTTTTTTTTGAGAAAGAAGAAAAACAAGCAATAAATACTATATTTAAGCAAAAACTATAACTTAGTAATACTAATTACAACTTAGAACATAAATGAAAAACACATGACAAGGAGAGTGGTTTAGGACCAGCAAGCTTACTCTTGAATCCAATATCAATTTCGATCCAATGTCAATTTCAATCCAATGTAATTTCAAATTTGACAGATTACCGTACTCTCGAAAACAATTTTGGTAATATTGGATTGAAATCTAAATTGCGCTTCTATTCGCCCAAAATGTTTTCGTACCACATGAAGTTAGCTGCGTTACTCTCAGCAATAAGATGTTTCATTTATCGTAAAACCGGTGAAGCTGTAATAAATCCTATGTAACTTTCTTAAATTAGCGTTTAAGTAATAAAAAAACATAAAAAAGTGTGTTTCGACAAACTTAACATGTTTTCACACGGTTCTTGTAAAAACAGCTTGATTTACGAACTTTGAATGTTTTTATAGCCTGTAAAGTGTGTGTGCCTTTACCCTTTTTTTGTTAGACATACTTGAAAAACATTTCATAAGTTCATAACTCAATTTCAAAATAAATGTTTTTAAGTATTTCTGAAATACTTAAAAAGTTTGGTGCTGATTATTTCGTAATAGTTCGTCGTCAGAGTAACATGGCTAATCGTCCAACTCTAGCACAAATTGAAGCTTTAGTTGAATTTTTAGAACAAAACGTTGGAATTGCGAAAGGTTTACTACGGACAAATCAAGCAAAAATGGAAGTAAAGAGGCAATGGGCATCTGTAGCTACAACTTTAAATTCATTGGGGGGAGCAAATAAAGATGGCCAAGGTTGGGCTAAAGTAAGTCTATTAATATATTTAAAAATATGAATACTTCTTTTTTTAATTGTTATATTTAAATAACTTATGCATGGTTTTTAGTATTGGGCAGAGAAGAAATGTGCCTTGAAAAAATTGTGTGCTCAGCATAGTAAATCCATGAGACGCACTGGTGGTGGCTCTCCTGACGACCTGCCCATGTTATCGGCGTTGGACAAGAGATTGGTGGCAGTTATGGGTGGTCAAGAGTTTGCTTTTGGAGACTGTCAACTTGCAGTAGATCCTTTTCACCACTTGGTAATTATTCATAAAAAATGTTGTAAACTTAGTTACTATACTAGCTTTTAGTCTAAGAAGAAAATTTGTATTCTCTCTGTAGCCTTATAGATAGATTTTATAATCATATTATGTTTGTAAATTTTTAGGAACATCAAATGATACAAGCAAACCCTTTGACTTCTCCAGCAGAAAAAATAAATTTACAATCAGAAAATGAAGAAGTAGTGATAGGAATTTGTACTTCCCCTATTCCTGGCACCTCCCAAGATACACCACAATCACCTCCGCATAAAAGTAAGCAATTTTTATCGTAATAGAATGTGACTTACATTAACCAAAATTCAGGTTCTATTATAAGTTTGGAAATTTAACCTTGCCTTATGGCATTCTTCTTGGGAAGCCTATGATCAGGAGTGGACTTGTTAAGGGCTGTAATGATGATGATAATGGAGTATATTATAGTCCCTTTAGCTTGAAGTAGTTACAGACTTGCAATCTGTACATGCATCATACTTATAAGTGACTTAAAAAGGGTCACCCACTGATTTTTTGTCAACAACCTTTCAACTTTAAACATAAATTGTTAAACATGTCATTTTCTTAAGTAGGTGAGTGTTTCTAAGTTTGAAAGACCTTTATAAATTCTTGTGATGCTTAAAACATTTAATCCAAATATTCCATCTCAATATTAAATGTCCATATTTTATGGTCATGGAATGGATTTATTTATATCTGAGACATGTTTTAAAATATGCTTTATTTTAATTTCAGAATCAAAACTTAAATCCATGCCACGTGTCAAGCAATGTCGTTCTGTCACAAGAAATAACCAAGATATGGAACGACTGGTACAAATCGAGGAGCAACGTGTCAGGGCGGAAAATATAATTGCACAAGCATTTGCAGATGTTTCTGCTGCATTAATTCGTAACATAGAAATTCAGGAGCAACGTGTCAGGGCAGAAACTATAACTGCACAAGCATTTTCAAATGTTTCTACAGCATTAGATCGTAATGCTGTAGCTGTGGAAAATATAGCCAGAGCCTTAGAGGGTTTATCTGCTGTCTTTAATCAAAACAAAACACAACAACATCAAGAATAACATTTCTGTAAAATTAAAAAAAAGGACTTACTTAATTTTTATTTGAATGATTTCATGTTTATTTTATTTAATTTTTTGTTTTTAATTTCATTTCTAATGTACACTAAATTTGTAATTTAGTTTATTTTTAATTTTAAGTATGGTAAGTCTATAACCATGTAATGTATGACAATCAACATATTTTCTATAACGCCATGTAAGATATGGCAATTTAACTATGAATCTTACTAACTGGAAAGTTTAAATGCAGGTAAAAATAGATAACTAATAGGTCTAGCAGTTAAACATTGATATGCCAGTAAAATTAGTAATATAAAATTTAAAAACGTTATGTATGTTATTATATTTTCTTAAAATATTTTGGTATTAAATAAAAATATTGGTTCAACAGTCCTACAATTTTATTTCAAAATCACAATTAAAATTAAGGTATAAGAAACTATTAATTCTTGTAAATCACATACTTAGTCTAACATTTTTCAATAACACATCTACAGGTGTAGAAATCTTTCATATTACATTAAGGTAACAAGTAAGACCATGTTTTTAAAAATCATATTAATTTTGTCATAATATACACAGGCAGGCCTATGTTCCGCAGTGGACTTTTATAGGCTGCAACGGAGAGATAGATAATATGACATGAAAGTAAGAAGACTTGACATGAGAACAGTTTTACCTTGATATTGAATATCAAGAGGTTACAGGTTTAAATAGTTTAAAAGACTATACATTTTAATCTAACTGTTTAGAATAATCTGAAAGATTTGAAAATAAGCCATTACTTTAATTATATCCTCTTGGGATTTATTTGGCTTCATACCAAGCTTATGAAGCCACTTTTGGCATACCTGCAAAACAAAATAATATTGTCCACCTTCAGATGGAATTACAATAATTTTCTTAATTTATTAAAAGAGTAATTAAAAGACAACAGATAGCCTGTAAATTTTCCAGGTTTTATTGTAAATTTTAAGAAATTAACAAAATATAATTAAAAACTCAGTAACAGAAAGTAAACACTCAATTATTGTTATTGATGTAATAAAACTATAAAAAAAGAAAGTCATTGAAGTCAAAAAATTAGCCTATGCAGTAAATTTCTACTGTTTGGCACATTGTTGCATCCGAGCTGTATTATGTAGCTTAGTATAACCTTAGTTACAAGAAAGAAAGCAGCCTTTATGATCATTAGGTTTTAAATAAAATAATAAGGTGCAAAATGCATCAATGGCTTACAGCAGTACATAAAATATCTATTTGGGAAAATATAAAACTTACAAAATTCACTACTTAAAACAATTGTACATTGAACAATTAAAAGAAATTTCAAAATGATTATAGTAAACAATTTTACTATTATAAGGTATTTAGAGGTTATGACAAGTTAAAATATAAGTTATGTGTTAAGGACATAGAAAAAATCTTTATTTTTTTTCTGTTATTATATATTATGTAGGGTTTCATACCTACCAGGGTATACCTTCATATAGTAAAATAACTATGGTAAACGTACAATAGAGTTGTGTGATATGAATAGCTACTCTATATTTGAGCATAAGCCATTTAGGTTGCTATCAGTAATATAAGGCTAATAATGTTGGTTTTTAACTATTATGTACATAATAATGTATATGGAAGGTATATTCAGCTGCAAATTTCTGTTCTTAGATGGTAGTGAACAATATTGCAAATAATAATATTATTAAAAAGCATAAAGGTTTTTGAAATAAAAAGTGACACTTCTCAACTGGATGGAAAGAAGCCATTGGAACTTAAACAATTATGGGTTAATCCTTCATTGTGAGGAAATTACATATATTATTATTGGATACGAATATGCTTATAATTTTGTAAATTGTAGAACACAATACAAAACCTTTAAAACAAAACAATAATATAGATATTATGAATAATACTTCATCATTATCATCATCATTACAGCCTAGTAATATAAGTGTATATAATACCTTATTTTTTTTTTATAAAATAAGGAAAATTGCAAAATTTTTCTATTCATTGATTCATTGATAATCGCAACCCTGTCTTCAAACATCTATATATTGTAAAGAATGTCTCGGACAAGGAGAGAGTATAATTAAATGGTTAAACCATTTAATTATACTTAATTAGTAATTAAGTGTGATAAAACATTACTACAAGGTACCTAATATTACATTATTCTAGCAGCAAAGAGATGTTGAACTAAAGCAGTTCTTTTTTCAATTCCTCTCCTTAGTTCAGCAGCCGATGTGACATTTAAACGTTCTTCAGGAATGGAGATATTTCCTGAGTCATCAGTTTGGATTGCATTATCCTCTAACTCCTCATGCATGAAATCGTATCTTTTATTACACATATTATGTAGGACACAACAAGCAATTGTTATTTTTCCTGCTCTGTTAGGGTGATAATGCAACACCCGATGGCCCAGCAAACATCGCCATCTATTTTTTAACCTACCTATTGTACGTTCTACAGTGTTACGTGCTGAGCAATGCAACTTATTGTAATATTCTTCAGCAGAGTTCATGTCGGCATTCAGTATGGGAGTCATCATATACTCTCTTTGAGCATACCCTGAGTCACCTAAAATTAAAAATAAAACAATGTATAGTATGATATGGTTTAAACATAACTCATGATGTTCTTTGCTTTTATTACGCTCACCTAATAAATACACATTTTCTCCTGAGCTAATCAACGAAATCATATGGTTTTTAACTGGATGCTGGTTCCATATAAAACTATCATGAGAGGCTCCACCAAAAGAAGCATCTACTGACAGTATATTTAAATCAGCATCACATACCTGGAAATTAATTTAATAATTAAATATATTTTCATCACAAAATATTATTATAAAATATTTTCAAATTCTTACAATTAAAACATTTCTTGAATGAAAATGCTTTCTGTTGAAAAACCTCTCTTCATTTTCTGTGGGTCTAACAATACTTATGTGTGTACCATCAATACAACCCAAAACAGCAGGTATATTAAATTTTTCATAAAATCTGAAAGATATTTGAAGCACTTAACAAACATACAAAACAAATATTTTAAAATAAGTACACGCAAGTAATTGTACCTTCGTTTTATAGCATCCCTTTCTTGACGTGTTTGCGGAAATCTTATCCATTTACCAAGGATATTATGATTATTAAGAGCATCAGTCACTTCTCTGATGGCACGAGACGCAGACTGCTGAGACATCAATGTGCCATATGTGCCACCTACTAATCTTTGGTAACTTCCAGTAGCATAGAAGGACAAAGCTACCAAAATCTGCAAACGCAGTTAATTAGCTATATATTTTTTTGTTCTATAGGCACCTATAAAAGAATAAGCAAAAGAGTTAAAGTACTTACTTTATATTTAGGTGATATATCACTTCTTCTCTTTGGACATTGCATATACGGCTTTAATTCATTAATTATTTCTTCAATAAAGTCCTTATCCACACGGTAATTAGCTCTCAACTCATCATCACTCATAGAAAAGGCTTTGTCCATATATCGCATCATTCGTCGTTCATTTCGTCTTTGTTTTAATTGTAATGCACGGTTACGTCGAAGAATAATGACCGGAAGAGCTAAACGTGCCATTATTATGTTGAAAAAATAATATAATTGCAGAAAACAAATGATTAATATCAACACAATTGCTACAACGTTACTCTCTTGCTATTGTCTAAATTCAGATTCCAAACACAATACGCAGCTGTCAAATAACTGTCTAAACTGCGTCAAGACTCAAGAGTGCCGATTATGGTTACTATTGGAATAGATATTTCAATTCCAATTTTAATTAGTTCAGAAAATGACAACATAATATTGAACTAATTTGGCGCTAGAGTCGCTTTCAAGAGTACGAAACGTCACAATTCCAATCCCGATCGATCGAAATTGCTTTCGAGAGTAAGCCTGCAGGCTTTGCGACACTCAAATGGAGGAGGATGTTCCGTAGTGGACTTGTGTAAGGTTATAATGACGATGATCATTTGAAAACTTGGATGATTAAATTATTAGAAATCGATATACTACATAATATTCTATCATAATTTGCTTTAATTTATTGACCTGCTTTAAACTAACACAGTAAGTTAAGTAGTAAAACATTAAAATAAAATAATGTCGTGGTCTGTCTTAATACATATCCTATGCTTGTCATATGCAGATTCAAAATTAAAAGTTGTTACGAATTTATTACTGTACCTCTAAAACTTACCTACAATAGGTACTTACTAAAAACTCAAAAGGCACAACCCTATGCTATGCTGGCATTAAGTACACAAAAGGACGACATTCAGTTCAGGGTGGCTGGCATTTGAGCCATAACGCCTTTTTTTGCTTATCGTCGTTTTTAAAATTGTTCATGAAATAATATGATTGTAAATAAATGTTCATTATATTTTTAGATAAATAACCTATCGATTAAAACAAATATTTAAAAATATTGTGCCCTAATTAAAATAGCAGACGTTTTAATAGCCTACATAGTTATTATTAATCAGATAAATCGTGCACGCAAGCTAAATAAAACTTTATCGCTGCGCGCGAGTGTCCGTATTAGTATGCATCTTTTCTTCTTACTACGTCACAACGGACTTTCCGTTGTTGCTAAGGGCTGTTAATAAAGAGTAAAAAAATACATTGTGAAGTGGTAAATTACTTAGGTAAAGTACCTATGCTGACTATAATCCACCATATCTACTATGTGAGTTCTGTGATGCCCAACGCATGCAACTTGCAAGGCCATTTGTATAGGTAGATAGCGTAAACACCAAATAAACCCGAAATACGATTCCCAACGGAAATATGATCGTAATCTACTTAGTTGAAAATCTTGTAAACAATGTTTTAAGTTCAGTATTTTGTGCTGCTGTTATAACTTAAAATATTTTAATTACAAAGACTAGTATGGGTATGTAAGTAGGTACTTGGGTAGTGAAGTAAATTTCAACTAAGTTTTGTAATAAAGTACTTAGGTATTACTTCTGTAGTTAAATACTTACTTAATTATTTTTTCCCTAAAAGTACCTATCTAACAAAAAAATGAAATAAATTTACCTTTCATTATCCTTTGGTAACTAAAAAAATTATATATCTGCATCCTTTTAATTGCTCAATAAGCATCCATCCCCGCAACAATTATAGTAGGAACGACTTTTCGCCATTAAAATTTATCAAATAGATAGGTAATATACATATATATTATTCTTAAATTACATTAAAACTTTCTCAACTATTTTATCCTACAATTAAATATGCTAAACACTAAACATAAACTATACCTATACAGGGTATTTTTGGAACGCTCCCGAAAACTAAGACAGGCGACAGCACCAAGTATACCTTTGATCATGGGTTACAAATAAAGTCGATCCTGATGAAAAAAAAATCATCTTTTAACAACGTTTTATTAGCTTTATTCACGCGCCATCATGTTAGTACAGCTAAATGAAACGATAATTTCATAAAAAATATCATGAAAATACTGAAACATAAAACCAGCAGTGGAAACTGAATTGATATCACCTGACTAATGGAGGTTAATGTACGCGCGAACGGTGAAAAACAAACGCTGGCCTTGAACTTGGGCACTGAGCGATTTATCACATATTGGTACGAAAGGCGCGCGACGGGGGAACAATCCGCCAGTATTAGTGTGCCTGCATGCTATTGGTTCCCGCGCTTTGTTCGCTCCAAAAATACAGTCGCATACACAGCTTACTTTGCGACTCGCGACGATGTTTTAAAAAGGAAGGAAAGAAAAATTATTTATATCTATTGTTTTATGACTGAACTAGTGAACTAGGGGAAAATTGTGCAATAAAGTTAAAAGTGTTGAGGAAGAATACCGAAAAACTTACCATGTGATCGACCTGATGACGGAAGCTCAAGCGAAGATGAAAGTGATGATGAAGTAGCATCCAGTAACATCAACACACCATCAACATCTGGCTTCCATGTGACCCAAGACGACATAATGGACGGCGTGTCACCCTTAGCTTAAGTTTTCTTGTTACAAACTACTTTATATTTTACGATAGAAATAACAAATAATGCTCAAGTAAACATTATCCATTTTTAATTCCAACCTTTTCCAAAGTTCTAAGTAGCTAGTAAAGCACCTATTATGATTCTACAATAAAACAATTAATTACTATAATATTATAAAACAATATCCCAATACCATGTAGTACTTTAGAACGCGACTGTAACTACACTGTCGACCTGTATCTAGCTCGGTGCGAAACAATGCTGCCGTCATAAGAAAAAAGGGCGCATCTAACAATTTTTGAATAAATGAGTTAAATATACCATTCGACTCATGATAAAAAGGCGCATCTACTAAATTTTTTAATATTCAAAAATATCAATATTTTAGAAAATATCGTAAGAATTTTAGACGTAACTGTTGATCACAGATGACATTTTTTTAGTAGAAAAGACTTATACAAATTATGGAGTGTAGAGTACAAGGAGAACCATCTTATAAGGGGCGAAAGTTGAAAAAGTGTCCTACTATTTACTGAAAATAGAGGTTCCAAAACCTACCACAATAGCGCTGGCGTTTGAAAAACTACGATATGAAGATAGCTGTTATGGACGGAGTGAAGTCAGCTGAATTCAAATATTTAAAAAATTTCATGACTAGAGTAGTTAGTAAAATGCCAGTACACAAAATCTCAACTATTTACGTAGTACAAAACCAAGCGGATTAATCGGTCCTTGTTTATTTCTCCATCTTACTCTAATTACTTTTGGCGCTTTTTTTAATTTATCCTATACTACTGCAGCGCCACCCTTATTCGACACGATTTTAGGGACACTTTTCATAGTATAGAGATGGTCCTCCTTCTCTCTACACTCCACAATACAAATTCGACATAAAAGAAAAGACTTATTTAACCAGTTGCTACGTCATCTTTAACAATATTTGCATCGATTACTTAAATTTCGATTATTCTTGTCTTATTATTCTATCTTATTATTAAGAGCTTATATCTTATTATTAAGAGCTGGTGTTTCACATGTCGTCCCATATAAATTTGATCGAGGTCAGACCAATAGTTTTTGAGTTATCCTTAATTATTTATATTGAAGTCGGTTGTAAAATTTTTTAATTTTTAATTATTATCGTAGTAAGTCTGGTATGATATCCCCTTTAAAATCATAACTCAAGAGTTGCGGGTTGTTATTTTATGTGTCTCACTACCAATGCTTTTCTAATATTCACTAATAATAAAAAAAGTAGTAAATTACTATTAGCCTCCTTTCAACTTCAAATGACCTTTCCAAAATATGTAAAAATGTTAAATGAATGGCGGTTTTTTTATTTATTACGTTGGAAAGACGCAAAATGGTTATATGCGTCTTTCATTCGATGTTTTTATGTGGCCAGGTGTATTTTTTAAGCTAAAATGAAAAAGAAAATTCGTTTTATTTAAATAAATAAACAAATTATCAAAAAAATAAGTTCGTCTTTAAAATCTCCAAGTCTCTACGTATTTCAATTTTCATATTGATACCTTTTAATATACTTTAGACACAGCAGGGTCTCAAAGAAAAATTCATCTATTTATTTTTTATTTCGATTTTACGTTTTTGTTAGTTGTGTGCTTCTTTATTATGACGGCAGAATGCCTAACCCTGTCGCCTCACGCTTGTGACGCAGTAGGTTTCAGGCCTTGGCGGGGTTCGTTCGTTTTAGTTTTTGAGACAGTTCCGTGTTGATTTTGTACACGCGTGCGCGAGCGACAGTTCAATCGTTTTGTTTAATAAATTTACTTGTGATTACGTGTTGATATTATTGTAGTTGTAACGTTTTTGGATTCTTTTTTGTTTTAATAATGCCTAACGCGTACGTTTATAGTGCTCAACATGTTAGGTATCCGAACCTAGGTACACGAAGTATCGCTAAATAAATTGTTAAGACGTCGGGATGGAACAAGTGTGTCATACTTTGCAGTGCACAAAGTGTTGAAGCGTAACCGGATGCGCCCATACAAATTGCACAAAGTGCAAGCTTTAGTTCCCGGCGATCACGACCGCCGACGAGTTTTCTGCCGTTGGTTATTAAACTAGCAACATCGTGTGCCTGGTTCCATTGAGCACATTATCTGGACGGATGAGTCGACATTTACCAACAACGGCCTGTGGAACCGAAGAAATACACACGTGTATTCAGAGGTTAACCCGCACGCTGTTCGACAAACCGGGCACCAAACCCGATGGTCGGTTAACGTATGGGCAGATATTAAGGATCGCATACTGGGACCAGTGTTTCTGCCACAGCGGCTGAACGGACAGCGATACCTAAACTTTATAAGTGAACAGTTGGTTGACATTTTAGACGACCTATCGTTGGCTGAATATCGCCGACCATGGTTCCAGCATGACGGTGCACCTCCACATGTCGTGAGGTTCGTCTGTGAGCGCCTCACCGAATTATTTGATGATCGCTGGATTTGGCGGACTAGGACCACTCGGTTGGCCACCTCGCTCCCGTTAGACTTCTTTCTGTGGGGGTATGTGAAAGAAAGGGTTTTTAATCGCGAGTGTGATAGTGCTGATGAAATGCGCCAAAGGATCGTGGATGTTTTCGACAAACTACGTACGGACTGTGTCGAAGACCACACGATGATGCCCCGCCTGCATGAGGAGATGCAACACCGAGCCCAAATCTGCCTTGAAATGAATGGAGCACAATTTGAGCCGCATCTCATAAGACCACGGAGGATTTAGAGCGGTAAGCTGTTTCATAAGTATTTTTTTTAAATAACTTAGTACTGGACTAATCTGAATAGGTACATAACTGAATACATGAGAATAATAAACATACCTACACGATGAATAAAAACGCATGACTCCAATCTTGGTTACATTTCATTAATTTAAGTATTTTTTCATTAGCGGGGAATCGAACCAGTTATTTGGGTTATTTAACCTGTAAATTCGTATTAAAGTGGCTACGTGGAGACAAGTACAGTGGCAAAATAGTAGGTTGAGTAGATAAGTTAGGTATTTAGACAAGTGTTGTAAATTATTAGGTAATGTGCTAGTTGCGGGCCGCGCGAATTTGCGTTCGCGCGTACATTGACCTCAAATCAGCTGATATCAATTCAGTAATTCCACTGCTGGTTTTATGTTTCAGTATTTTCATGATTTTTTTTATGAAATTATCGTTTCATTTAGCTGTACTAACATGATAGCGCGTGAATAAAGCTAATAAAACGTTGTAAAAAGATGATTTTTTTTTCATCAGGATCGAATTTATGTGTTACCCATGATCAAAGGTATACTTGGTGCTGTCGCCTCTCTTAGTTTTCGGGAGCGTTCCAAAAATACCCTGTATACCTAGAGCGCGCTAGCCCCGACTGCGAACTACCCCTGGGGCAGCTCGCGATTGTACGTAATTATTTCACGCAGGTAGCAAGAGTGACAGAGGCCTGCTTAGGTTAGGGACCTTAGGCCTATTTGTTAGTGAAAAAGTAAAATGAACTAAAATCTACGTAACCCAAGGACGGGAACGATTCGATACACATGAATCATACCACAGTAGTTCAAATTCAAGGCCGCGGGTTGGAATCCCGCGCGGAACAAGTATTTGTATGGCCTACAAATAATTGTTCCGGGTCTGGATGTTTGTCCTTGTGCAATTTGTGTTTGTAAACTGCCTCCTCGATACAGGAAATAATCCTAGTGTGGGGGTAACGTTAAAAAAAAAGTACATACAGTTGAACCTGTCAGTAAATGCCCTCAGTATGTTATTGGAGCTGGCCCGGACTCTGGCCTACAAGGACGTGCACTGCTTTTACATAGTAGTGTAAAAGCAGCCCACACGCGCCTCGGCGAACATCCCTGATTCGCTGCGAAATTCGGGCAGCCCCATTAGCATCTTGAATGCATTATTATACTATACAAGCGTACAGTGAGTGCAGTAGGCGAGCAACCCGTGTTCGATCGTCGTGAAAAAAACCTGCATGTCTGAGAATTTAAGAAAGAAAAGATTTTGAAGACATTTGAAGGTCGCCAACACACATTGGGGCAGCGCGGCAGAACTTCCCTTGCCCTAAAAGCTTCTCAGAAATGAGAGGAAGCCTATGCGCAGCTGTGTGCGCAGGGCGTTATACTGTTTCTGCGTGTAGTCGACTAGCAGGTTGCTCGTGTGGAAGGAGATGCAGTACTCTGAAAAGATGACGTACGCAACTACGAGCGATCCTGCAGGACGATCATGCTCGCCCCAACAAACGCACTGCGTGCTCTTTTTATATCTGCGTTAGAGTGTACCACATACCCGAGATATTGAAACCGTTTCGCTCTTGTAAGCGGAGTAACGTACAGTTTAATAGCAGGTACAGTAGGAGGTATCGATTTTTCTTTGGAAAGACCATGCAATAGCTTTTTTGACATTATATGTCAAGCCATGACTGTGGGCATAGTTCTCAGAGATGCCCAATAGTTTCGCTAAACAACAGACAGACGCACTCAGCAGCACCGTGTCGTCAGCTTGCCATAAATTTGACAGTACTCGACCAACCCGGGTTCGATTTCTGGCGGCACCAATAAAATTGTTGATTGCAATTTCAATTGGGTATTTACCACGTGCTTCGTTGAGGGAAAACATCGCTAAACTTATATGTTGGAAAAATTAAAAAAAATCCAGGATATCTAAAGTTTGCCATTTTGAGACAGCATGGTGAACTCTACCTTGCTGGGTTGGCTTGTGCCCATATGTGACTCAAGCCCCCCCCCCACACATTCTCTTCAGATTTGTTAAAATATGTTCATTGGATTTCTTAAAAACGTTAAAATTTTAGCTAGCTCATACAATACAAGGCGGAGAACTACTCAATCATTTTCTCACTGATAATTAGATATCATCCTTATGAAAACCTAATAAGGTTGTAAACAGTATGCAATAGCTATATTATCTAGTGGAAAAGCAAAAATATTATTTTCTACTCTATTAAAATTGGTTAAGTGCGGTATTTAATTGTCAGTGGGAAGATGTTTGAGCAGTTTTCCGCCTGATCTAAAGTGATCTTAATCTTAAAGCGACGCTTAGGGCGAAAGCATAGAAAATACCTCGTATACTTTGTATATAAAACTGTCACACAATAAATAATAGATACTGTTCCTTGTGATTATGACTATAATTGATCCATAACTCAAAGACTTGATCATCTATACAAATTAATAAAATTGAACTTTCTGTTTGTAATGAAAGTATATACGGTACTTATAACAAAAACACGATTATTAAAATTTTTGTCTTTCTGTCTGTCTGTCTGTCTGTCTGTATGTTTGTTCTTCTAATCTCCGAAACGACTGGACCGATTTTGACCGGACTTTCACTGGCAAATAGCTAATGTTATAAGGAGTAACTTAGACTACTTTTATTTTAGAAAAAGAATTAGGGATCCGCGCAAAAAAATTGAAACCCATGAAATCCAGTCGTAATAAATTCTACGACGAACAAAACAAAAAAACTTGAGAGACAATTACCCACTGAAGTTGTCGCTTTTAGATGACAGTGTGCGCGTGCATTGTAACAACTTCATGGTGTCGGTTGTAGGTGTCGGTGTGCGCGCACATTGTAAAAATTCACTCCCATCATTTTTCCCAAACGCCCCAAAAGAAGTATAACTTCAAAAATACAGTTTAGAATTGAGAACCTCCTCCTTTTTTGAAGTCGCTTAAAATATTGAATGAATTCTAGTGTGTTCAGGTGTATTCTTTATACAATAACTTCTGCTTGCATCACGCTACCGCATAGCGGCATAACAATTGCGTGTGTGCGAATCGCAGTTATGTTTATTTAACGAAGGCTTTACTGTATGTAGGTACTTATTTATTAATTAAACGTATACAGGAAAATGGAGAATGTATATCAATGTTTTTTTTTATAAAATTGAAGGGACAAAGGAATTTACTGTCCTTGGACATCTGCAGTTAAATATACAGGCTGGTTACAAATGCGTTGTCATTTATGAGGACTTAGATGGACTGCCTCCCAGCGTGTAATCATACTGGCTCTTTTTACCCTTCAGACCGGAACAGTAGTGCGAACACTGCTATCTGGCGGCAGTAATGTGCAAGAGGTAACAGGCATGGACACTTGCAGCCAACTTCAAACAAAGAAGGCTACATACAGATGCGTCACATCTGAGGACTGAGATGGAATACCTCACAGTCTGTAATTATACTGGCTGTCTATACCCTTCATAATAGAACAGCAGTGCAAGCAGTGCTATTTGGTATCAGTGATACCCAGACGGACTCCTGAGCAGGAAAGGGGTCTATCATCTAGTAATCTATACGAATAAACAAAATTGAAGAGTCTGTTTGTAATGTCAAAATAACAGCTTTTTACTAAATGCTTTTTTTAGTTTACATGGTACTTGTAACAAAAAAAAAATGTTTTTTGTCTGTGTGTCTGTTTGTTCCGGCTAATCTCCGAAATGGCAGGACTGATTTTGACGGCACTTCCACTGGCAGATAGCTGATGTTATAAAGAATAACTTAGGCTACTTTTAGTGTAGAAAAAGTATTAGAGTTCCGCGCAAAAATTAAAACCCATAAAATCCAATCGTAACAAATGTTTCACGCGGACGAAGTCGCGGGGAACAGCTAGTAATATAATAATAATGTCTCCTAGACCAAGTTTAAATCACGGCGGCTAGTCTCAATAGAGACTAACCATCAGCGCAGGACAGGATTATAGTGCCCAAGTGTTTGCGCAAACACAGGTGCACTGTCTATTCCCTCACTCTCATAGTGCGATGGGACGGTAATCCGACACGACCGGAGAGAGATCAGGCGTAGGACCGATGGCTTTACGTGCTTTCCGAGGGACGGGGTTGAAACACAACCAACTTCCAGACTTACTTGACAGCCTTTCGGCCCAAACCGGGCTTCGGACCCTGGACCTCATGATCAGTAAGCGTTTACGACCACTAGATCAATGAGGCAGTCATCTAGTATCGTTATAACTAATAGCGATTATTTCTTTCTAGCTGCTGGGTTCTCCATGCGGCCAGCACGGACAGTACACATTCTACAAGGCGATCAGGTTGACCGGGAAACGGGAGAGGATCGTCGCTATCGGCGACTTCTTCTTCGTGAGGATATGGCAGGACTCCGAGCTGGTGTCCATTGGTGAGTGTCAATTTAGCTGTTGTTTAGCACACAGTCCACCTGATGGATGTGGTAGATGTGGCACATAGACATTTACATCCATCCTCGATTACGAATCAAAAAGCAGATGTGTAATACCCCATGAGGACTAAGATGGAATGCCTCGTTTCCAGTAGAAACCGGTCCGGTCCCCGGTTCTCTACACTCACCATACGAAACACAGCAGTATTAAGTAGCTATTTCACGCTGGTATTCTGTGAGAGCGTGGTCCTACCCCGATCAAGTCGATTCATTTGTGCTACAACCATAATATAGAAGCAGCATAGCTCTACCACGTACAATGCTTCATATTTATTTTGAATCTGATCAGGAAGATGATGCTGCCCATCTGTTTTATTCTCCTCTATTATCTCCTATGACCGCCACGGGATGGTAAGAAATAGTGGATTAATTTACCCTGCCAGTACTCGCAAGTGTAGGGATAACTATTAAAAATTCCATTAAGAATAATTTTATCGGGAAAGCTCCTAATAAATTGCCAGGTCTCTGATTTCTGAGAGAAGTACAGAACGTCGCGCTTCACAGATCTTCCAAATGTTTTTATTTCTCAGATGTTTTCCTTCACTATCGGCTATTGAGCACCTGTAAATCAACACTTAAGATTGCAGTTAACAGTTCCCTTGGTGCCAGGGGAGATTTAACTCGGGTCCCCATTTTGTATGAAATTTACAGCGAGCACTTAGCACCTGAGCTACCACGGTCCGGTTCTTTAAGTGTACTTTGCTCGATTTTTTTTAATTTTATGGTATAAGGGTGACAAGCAACACAGCCCACCTGACGGTAAGTGTATACCGTGTCCGATAGACATCTACATCTATAAATAATTAAAATGCAGATGCGTTGTCATCCCTGAGGACTAAGATGAAACATCTCGTTTCCAGTAAAAAGGGTCTCCGGTTCTCTACACTCAACCATACGAAACACTGCGGTATTAAGCTGCTATTTTACGCTGGTATTCTGTGAGAGCGTTGCCCTTCCCCGGTTGAGCCGACCAATTCGTAATGCAACCTAGTTGTTTGTTCATGTTTGTTGTTTTCTCACTTACTTTTTTAATAAGAACTTCACGTAATTTTTAGCCCACTTAAAAAAAAGAAGGTCTACAATTTTCTGTACCGACTTATATTTTATGTATGTATGTTACGAAAAAATCTTCGTCAATTAAGAAGAACCCTAATCCTTTTTCTGAAATAAAATTCTTATGTAATTCAGTTATTGCTTAAACATCAGCTATCTTCCAGTTAAAGTCCCATAAAAATTGGTCCAGCCATTCGGTCGGGACAAACAAAAGACAGACAGACAAAGGTTTAATTTTTTTTGTTATTAGTACCGTGTATACTTTCATTTGCATTTTGTCCTGTGCAAAATATAAATCTAATTGCCTTCACGATACAGGAAAAAATTCTAGAGTAGAGGGTAACGATGAAAAATAGAAAAAATACATGTTTTCACCCACTTCCAGTTGTCAGGAGCGATCATTCCATGTGATTACAATGTGAGTGTCTCCAAGACAAGAGTGAATAGGCTATTGTTAAGCTAAAGCCGCGTCTCCACCAAAGTTTTGTTGCCAACAAAACTTGTTTCCATTTTCGGCGGCAACATCGAAGGAATATGCTTGTTGCCAACATTTGTTTCCTCGGTGGAGACGCTTGTTGACAGAAACATTTGTTGGCAACACGTGTTGGCAACAAAACTTTGGCGGAGACGCGGCTTAAGACTGCGTTTTACCATCTTCGACTGCTTCACCACTTTTTAGAATTCGCTTACAATAGTAAAAAAGGCATGTGTGTAAATACGAGGGTGGATTGAAAAGTACTCGGCCTAACATAGATCCATTCAATTCTAAAAATCAAATCTACCCACATTATTTAGTTCAGTTCAGACTAGTTCATTGTGTGAAGTTCGAAACGTGTGCGATAATTAGTTGTGATTTTATAAATTTATTAACAAAGTAATCGGACATAATTTCCGCGAATGGAGCAAATCGAGCAGCGTGCCGTCATTAAGTACCTCCATAAGAAGGGGCTATCATCAAAAGCCATCCATGATGACATGGTCAGTACATTAGGCGATTGTGCTCTGTCATATTCATCCGTCTAAAAATGGATAGCAGAATTTAAGCGTGGTAGAGAGAGTGTGAAAGATGAACCCCGCTCTGGAAGGCCTTCGACGTCAACTACTGACGAAAATATTAAAAAGTACTTGATTTAATAATGGGAGACCGCAGATTAAAAATTAGAGAAATAGCCGAGATTATAGGCATCTCTTATGAACGAACTCAAAACATCATTGTCAACGAGTTGGGTTTCCACAAGGTGTCTGCGAGGTGGGTTCCGCGACTGCTTTCAGTTGAACAAAAAAGGACGCGATTGACTATTTCACGCGACTGTTTGGAGTTATTTGAAGCCGATGCAGATGATTTTTTGAATCGTTTTGTTACTATGGACGAAACATGGGTTCATTACTATACACCGGAAACAAAACAACAAACAAAACAGTGGAGAAGACCTGGTTCACCACCCCCTAAAAAGGCTAAGTCGATTTTGTCGGCAAATAAGGTGATGGCTTCAGTATTCTGGGACTCGAAAGGTGTGATTATGATTGATTATCTTGAAAGGGGTCAGATTATAAACTCTGATTACTACTGCACCTTACTACGTCGTTTACGAGAGGAAATAAAAGAAAAACGTCGAGGAATGCTCAGAAGAAAAGTCCTGTTTCATCAAGATAACGCCCGTGTTCACACGTCAGTACAGTCAATGGCTGAAATTCACAACTGTGGCTTTGAACTGTTACCGCATCCGCCGTATTCACCTGATCTGGCACCATCAGACTTCTTTCTGTTCCGTAACCTAAAAATGCACTTGGGAGGTCAAAGATTTTCGACAAACGACGAGGTCAAAGCAGCTGTAGACGCATATTTTGACTCTAAGGAAGAATCATTTTTTTTCAACGGTCTAAATGCTTGGAAGGGGAGGTGGCAAAAGTGTATTGAACTTGATGGTGATTATGTAGAAAAATAAAAATATAACTGATTTAGTATGTGTTTATTTTCTTGGTTAGGCCGAGTACTTTTCAATCCACCCTCGTATGTATGTATGTGTATATATGAATGTAGGTATGTATGTATATATGTATGTATGTATGAATGTAATGGAATTTTATAATTCACTTTTCCCCCACTTCCGGACGTTTAATTAATCCGAAATGTTGCAGAAGTATTAAGAAGCAATGACGATACAATATTTTCTTGACCATGACCTAGTATGCTCATTACGACCAACTCATAATCAAAACGTGTTGTTTATGTGTTTTTAAACTCTAATACAGTTACAATATAACTCAATGTTCAATAATTAGTAACTCCTAAGTTATGACTTGGTTTTACTATAGTTGTAATAGTTAAGGCTGGCAGTATCGTTGACAATTGGGATACAATTCAAATTACTATTGCATAATATACAAAATACTCAATTTTCGCAACGTGGTAGAGCCACGCAGCAGCTATGATATACTTGCGGCACGAATAGGTCGGCTCGAATGGGAAAGGACCACGCCTTCTCAGAAGAGAGAGCGTCGTCCTTTCCCATTCCAGCGTATACTAGCAGCTTACTGCTGCTGTGTTACGTATGGTGAGTGTAGAGAACCGGAGACCCTTTTCACTGGAAAAGAGGCATTCCATTTTAGTCCTCACGGCTTATAAGGTTCCTACATTTTGATTCTTAATCGAGTATATAATATGTAAGATGTCTATGGTTCACATCATCCATTTATCATGAGGTGTACTGTGTGTTCGTTTGTCACACTTGTACGTAATAATCAAAATACTGTCCGTTAAGGCTGATTTACACAGGGTCAGTAACAGGCGCCAGTACTGGCGCCGAGGACTGACTCTCATTGTTTACATGCAATCAGTAGTCGTGGTAAATTCTTCAGGGTATACGCACGTTATAGAAGTCAGTGAGCAAAAATTAATTCACGGAAACGGCAGAATTTACCAAGATTGAAATATTTATTGAGAAAATGTTCATGTCTGCTGTTGAAAGAGTTGACGGAAATGTTAGATGAAGAAATATTTAAAAAGAAACTACTCTGGATAAGAAAATGGATAGACGACAGAAAAGAAACTGGAGCTTCTGCTTTATTGTTGACGTGACGTCACCCTACAATGCAGCGCCAGCGACTGACCAAGTACTGACTTGGTCGTTTAGACAAGGTTAATACCGCTGGCGCGGGGGGCGGGGGGAGTGGACTGATTTCAAAATATTCAAGCAGGAATATTGAAGTCGGCACTGGCGCGACAGCGCTGTACTGACTCGAAATCAATATACACTATGTCAGTATCGGCTCAGCACTGACTTGCCTGGACTTTGGAGCCAGTTATTGACCCTGTGTTAATCAGCCATTAGTCTTACAAAAATTCGAAAATGGCCGGAATAATTTTGATGAAATTTTTTTGTGTGTGTTTGAGTGGGTTAGCTGTTAACCCTGGATGGTTTAGTTTCACAATCGGGCCCGGTAGGTAGCGCTATTGTCGAGATCCAGAAATCACCCGTGAGAATCCGGGGCGGATTGTTAGTTCTATATAACAAAAATAATTAGTTTTTTTTTTGGGATTTAAACAAACAATAGTGACGTAGTAATGCGTTACTCTGAACAATGATATGACATAGAAAACAGTTCCTTAATCTAAAATGACGCTTCGTTTGTCCCAGGTGAACTGCAGCTGCTCTGGACGGACCGCGTCTCCGACCAGACCCTGGTCAGCCTTCGGTTGTACTTCTTGCCCGAGAACACGCCCGACGGCCGCGGCCAACATGGAGAGGTGAGTGAAATTTTTGGTTTTTTAGTACCAGGATAACATCAATTAAAGAAGTTTATTTTAGTAATAAACTTTTGTTTGGTTCAAGCAAAATTATTTATTAAAGTTAACTCTGTATTTCCATCAAAATGTGTGTTACACTTACGTTTGGGGAGGACTTATCACTCTCTTACCTATTGCTGCCACCAAATGAAACGGCAGGAAAGAGATCAGGCACAAAACCAACGGCTTTACGTGCATTCCGAGACACAGGGGTGAAACACTGCCAACTGACTCCGGGCTACTATTGAGAAATTCTTGATATAATACACAATAATTGAATTTCTTTGGCCCGACTCTGAATAACAATAAAATAATTTTTATTCATTATAGATTAAAAGTAATCTTTATTAAGTGTTTTTTTTTTAATTTCAACACTGGTTCGGATAAAAGCTCTGTCCTGGGAAGAACCAGCAAGAAACCCAGCGGGACTTTTTTTTAAATAAAATTCTACAATTAAACACAGGTGTACAAATTACTTACAAATATTATATAAGATACAACTTGAAAACGACCACCTTATTCCCAAGGGCTTATAATCAAGCATATTCATTTATATTATATTAACCCTTTTTATACAGTTAAACTTGGTAATACCGACCGTGCATATTTTCTTGGACTATGTACAACATAATGTACACGATTCGAACTCGGACCTCAACCGAAGGATTAATATTAACATTGAACAAGCTTAAAGGTTAAAGCAGAAAACCCGACTGCGTAAAATTGTTTACTGAAAAGAGAACAATTTTATACCCTATGTCACTTTGACACTCACTATGACACACCATATGTTAAAATTCGTCAAACCGTTTAGTCTACCGAGCGTGCCGAAATCACAGAACACAATTACTCTCTACCAAGAGAAGAACGCCAACTTCATACTAAAAAACGGAAACACGTGTTTACGAGTGTACACGAAAAGCGCTACGGTGGACACCCATATAAAACTTTTTTAGCGGGAATTTCAAACCTTTGTATTCTGTAACTTTAAACTTTTTATTTAAGGCTTATTCGAGTAATTTTGGCTCAAGCCTCACAAACCTATGGGGTAAAATACCCATATTTTTGAGAGGTTGCACCAAAATTACCCGAATATACTTTAGATTAGTATGTGGGATAAAATAAAATTATAAATAAGTATAGTTATGTAGTTTTATTTTCTGGAAGACAGATTGTTTTATAAACGACACATTATTATTGATATTTTTTATTGTTTTTGCACATAATATTTCCACGCTGGCTACTGACGTAAATTTAAATCAGCAAAATTCTCATGGTGAAAACTTAACTCAGCCCAAATACATGATCTGAAACAGATAAAATTCGAGTTAATATAGTAATAATCCCTACAAATAACGATCAATACATTTAAAATGCTTAAAGACTTACCACAATATTGTTAAAAGTTTTTCTTATTCTATTGTAGGAAACCTGCAGAAAGTAATTAGATGATTTTGTGCTTTTTGTTTGCACAACGCTTAATTTACTTTCGATTCTGATCACACATCGTGAATAATTTTTTTTAATAATAAATTTATAGTCAATATCTCTTAGAGTCAACATTTCACAAATAATATTTACAGACACAATCGCGAAGAAACGACTATAAAGGAAAATGAAGTATTCTGAACCGATAATAACTGAATTGCAGCAAAAAGCAATAACAAATATTAAAATCTAAACCTATTAAATAAATTTTAATCAATTTCAGAAAATATTTTCAATATGAAAGACGTTGACAAATAAATGTCTTTTTTTTTCTTCTTTTAATTCATGGCTTCTCTTGATAGAATTCTGCTAATATTAAATATTTAAATGAATTAAATTGTGCAAATCTCACAGTAATATGTATGTAATTATACTTTAAAGAGCAAACCAAAAAAAGTTTAACACATAATTAACATTTTTAGTTTCTTTCGATATAATATGAATTTGTGTATCTAATTTTTAAAGTGGCAATCTAAAACAACATGAAGGAAAGAAACAGCGATATTTTTTCTCGCTTTATTTTAACAAGCCCAACACGAACATTGACAAAATCATGATTGTGTGCAGATTTTTTAGCTTTCATACAAAGTTGCCTCACCCTGGCCGAAATAAATAGACATACAAACATACGTACATACTCTCTAAAAACTTAACCGTCCTTGTGGGCCGGTCGGGTAAAAAGAAATCAAATTGATTCCGGTCCGTTTTACGCAAACGCTCGTTTCACTCACTAATTTGTTTTTAAATATTTTTTTTACTGGTTCACGTCGAATATCCTCAGGCAATGTATTGAGAAAGTACGTTTGATGTTTCTTTAAAGTTCTGTCCCCGTAGTAATTATTTACTTTAGGTACTACAAATTTGCCTGCAGATATCGACCGTGTACCCTGACCATGCTTAACTAGTATTAGAGTACGCTCTCGACAGCTGTAATTATTTAAGACAAGTAAATACTTATGTTTTAAATTTACTGGGAGTATTTTGCAGATTTTGAACAATTTAGTGTAATTACCTTTACAGATATCTTTAGTTTTTTTATTAAGTAGTAACTTTAAAAATCTAATTTGTAGTGCTTCAAGCTTATCAATGTAGGTTTTGAATGTAAGGCCATAACTGTCAAGAGCGTGCCCCAAAATCGAATCTACCAATGAAAAATATAAGCATTTTAAAGTAGCAGAAGGCACTTTAAAGCTTGAGTGATAAAATTTGCTTAGAAGTAATCTTAACTTATTACAAATATAATCTACATGGCTGGGCCACGAGAACTTAGTATCAACTTTAACACCGAGGTAGGTTACACAATCGACTCTTTTGATAGGCTCACAATGACAACTATTCAGACCATTATGGAGGCATTGAAAGTTATGACTATACATTTGAGGAGACGAGTCAGTAGAACACATATAAGGTGATTTAATGATAAGTAACTTGGTTTTATCTGAGTTTAAGACGATACCATTATCATGAGACCATTTAACTACCGAATCTATATCTTGCTGTATTAGGTGACACGTCTCCACTAGATTGGTACCAGCCCGCAGTGTACATAGGTCATCTGCGAACATGTATGCAGAGCAATACTGAAGAACGCCACATAGGCTATTAACATGTAGTAAGTAGCAAATAGGCCCACACCCAGAACCTTGTGGCACCCCGCACCTCACCTCAGTCGCCTCACTAAGCGTGTCACCAACATTTACACGGAAAATGCGTGATGTGAGATAGTCACGGAACCACTGGTTTAGCGGCTATCCCACGCCACATTCGTCCATTCCATTTAAAAGTGTTTCTGTATCTAAGATATCAAATGCTTTTTTGAAATCGTAAAAAATAGCAACAACAAATTGAGTTGTCACCGCTGAGGACTAAAATGAAATGCCTCGTTTCCAGTGAAAAGGGTCTCCGGTTCTCTACACTCACCATACGAATCACAGTAGTAATAAGCTGTTATTTACCGCTGGTATTCAGTGAGAGCGTACACCTTGCTTGATCTGGTCGAGCCGACACATTCGTGGTACCAACATAACATAGCTGCAGCGTGACTCTACCAAGTATAAAATGTTGCTTATAACATTATAGTGACTTATATGTATGGACACGTGATTTAATAACGAAGATGAGTATTTGATATTGACGAGCGCCCACAAAATCAACAATAAATTCATCTTGCAACAACTTCCTAGTGTGAAGTTAAAAATAATCTAACATTTACATGTTTAATAGCCTCCTAAATCACCACTTAAAGAAATCGTGTAATTTATCATGTCGCATTATTGACAGTGATCATTTTTTAATTTTTTATTCATTATAATCAATTAAAGATCTCGGGGTACAGGGTTGTGTCAACAAATAACGCCATGAACTGACGACTCGATAGCGTAGGGCATATACTATTTCTGTGGCTCTTTAGGTCTTGAGCCTACGTATAATTGTCGTATGGTATCTAATACAAATAATTGTTCCGGGTCTAGATGTTTTTTCAATGCATTAGGAGGCACTACCATTTACTAGATGATAGGTGGGTGGGTCTGAAAGGTATTGTAGGCTGTGAGGCACTCCATCTTTTGTCCTCAGAGACGACAAGTGTTCTTTGAGTTTGGTTACAGATGACCATGGACTGCAGTAGCCACTTACCATCAGGTCAGTTCGGGATAGTTGTTCGCATTAATTGGAACGAAGTTCCTTATCGCACGGTACGAATTTGGCGGATGGGGGCTAGGCGAGAAAAAATGTAAGATTTTTCCGTCACAACCCCTTCTACAGACGCTAGTAATTCATTTATTTGTATTTGTTAATCAATAATATAATACGTTTATCAATAATAATATACTACGAAAGGAACTTCGTTCCAAGTTCCAACCAAAGACTTAATAAAAAAAATACTTTTAAAACATCTTAGGTTCCAACTGAGTGTTCCACGATACTCACGCATGTTTTTTTTTTATTTAAAAGAAAAAATTTATATATTTATGTAAAATATCTACAAAAGGTTACTAAAAATATAAACTTGTTATTAACCTTATTACTAAATATAGTAGAATGAAATTGGAATTTCTATTTAAAGATAGCCGTGCCGAAAACGTTATTATGTTAAAATATGAGATATTGGTATTTTAATAACCACCTCGGTAAAAGTATATTGTTAAATGTTAAAAATTCTAAGAAGTAAGCTATGATAAAAGTTGTCCGTGTAATATAATATTTAATTTATTTTTTAACATTTATATCGAGAAAACATTGTCTACAAATACATTACACTATAATACAGCATTAATATATTATAAAAAATCCATGCCTATAGGCAAACCTACTTGCTTCAATTACCTATGAAAATAATACAAAATTTTACACAAACCTCAAAAATCGATAGCTGCGTTCAACGGACGGTGATAAGCCTTCTCTTTCCCGCGTGTATTTCTAATGCGTGTTGTCTCTTTCTAATCCCTATTTGGTAATGCCAACTATTTCATCGG